GGGAAATAGGGAAAAGGTGGAGGTGTTTGGTCGCTTCTAACTCCATCTCTGTTTTGGATCCTATATAAACTAGGCTCAAAGTGTCGCCGCACACCAGAGCGATTTAGCGCACGCACTGAGATAAGAGGTGTGTATCAACTCGTCTTAATTAAGGGAATAACATGGTTTAATATGAAAAAAAAAAAAAAAAAACGGTGGAGTGGTTCCTTTAACTATTACACTGACTAATGAAAATAACAAAACAATTTTACTGTAAAGCATTATAACAAACAGAAAATTAAAAGCAAATGAAAAAGCCAAATACATAAAGTAGAGAAGTGGGCACAGGAGAATAGTGTAAAAGGGAGAATGTATGGAGAAGATGTATGGAGAAGAGAAAGGGAGGACATTAAAAACAATGGAACCAATAAGAGGAATGAAGACATTAGATTTAGGATGACCGGTGTGGATAGAAGATGAGAAAAGGAGTGGAGAGAGGCAAGAAGAGCTGTCAGCAGCCCAAATCAAAAATAGCTGTTTGATGAGTACAAAAACAATTGAAGGAAAAGGAAAGCAGGCAACTAAACAGCAAAGCTATAATAAGACAAGACTTTATGAAGCAGCCACACCACAGGAATGATGCACAGATGTCAGTAGAGGGTAAGGTTTATCTGTAGTGCTAGACTGAATAAATTAAACCAGTTTACTATAATGCATAAACAAAGAGCTAAGGTCCTTTGACTGGGTCTTTGTAGAGAGTATGTCAGTGCATTGCTTAATGTTTGCTTCTTACCCCTGTTCTACCAGGACAAGTGTGGCCAGCAGTTTTGATTGGAAAAGAAAAGAAAACTGAGAGACCGAGACAAAAAGTGAGAGAGGAGACACAACATCTGCAGAATAGTACAGGAAAGAGAAATGGACTGGTTTTCCTGAAATCAATTTCTTTTGCATTTCACTTGACCTGATGTTGAATTTGACCTGTGCTGTTCCCTTTGTTTGTAAATAGCATCTTGGAATGTTTGGCATTCTTACTTTGGAATACAGTATTGCATTTTTGTTGATGAGGGTGGATTGATGTTTCAGTTTAACTCTGTGTGACATTGAGACTTAAGCCAGAAATATTCACCTTGTTAAAACAATAAAAAAACAAATATGCAAATTTAATTTAAAGTTTATTCCTTGTATTCCTTGAGTCGTGATACGTACATGGATTTCTCTGGGCTAAGCCCCAGATATCCTCACACCCTAGAACCGCCCCTGGTGAGCATCTTGAATTGAGCTTCCGGTCCGGTCCGGTAAAAATAATCTCAGTTTTGTCCATTTTAAGTTTTATAAAGTTTGAATGAATCTTTTATTTCATGCACACAAGCAGAGATATTGTTAGTTGTGGTGGATAGAGTCGATGTACAGGTAGTATAGACGGTGGAGGATCTGACCAAGAGCATTACATAGATTATGAATAGTAGTGGCCCGAGAACGGAACCCTGGGGGACACCTTGCTGTGTACAGTGGTAGAGTAGAAATCTTGAACCGAAATGTAAAACTGCCTGTCAGAGAGATAGGAAGAAAACCAAGAAAGAGCAGCACCAGAAATCCCCACATCTAAAAGGTAAGAAATGAGTAGTTGATGGGAGATCGTATCGAAGGCAGAGCTGAGGTTGAGTGGCAGGAGCATTGACAGAGAACCAGAATCACCAGAGAGAAGCAGATCATTCAGTATCTTAACTAGTGCAGTTTCAGTGACTATGAAGAGGGTGAAAACCAGATTGAAGAGGATAACAGATGCATTGATAAAGTGTAGTGACGCGAACTGTTTCGAACGATTCAGTCCGATTTAGTTTACTGGTTCGACCGGTTCACTAAAAAGAACCGGTTCAAAAGAACGATTCGTTCACGAACCGGTTCTTTTTAGTGAACCGGTCGAACCAGTACACTAAATCGGACTGAATCGTTCGAAACAGTTCGCGTCTTGCATCAGCGCTAAACCACAAGTTACTAAAGTTACTCACTTTCAGACATGCCTGACAGTCCCTCCGAATCGAAATAAACCAATATCCAGAAGTACATTTTATTCCAGTAACTCAAAAAGTTCACTGAACGGAGACATATGTTGGTGCTGAGAGAAGTGATGAGCACGAGCATCTGATACTGCGCATGCGTGTACTACCGAACGTACAGGTACAGTGGTCAGATAACCAGTACAGAACCGAGAACTGTTTCTTTCGGACACGTTCGACATAATCGAGAACTGAGTTGATGAGCTGAGCATGCGTGCATTTTTTTCTGAGGGACGAAATGTACGTTTCCATGTCTTTAGTTGAACATTAGTAAGTGTAACAAAATAAAACATTTTGGAAACATGTGTATCACATAATTACTGTATCACTGTATTATTTTAACGATTGGAAACAATGATTGGATTCTAAAACTGTCAAACTACTAAACATTTATTATTATACTACAATAATATTTTCAGGAACAGCTTATTTAATTTCTAAGTAACAATATCATTGATGTAAATTCTTGCCAAGGTTTTAATGGTGCACTGCTTAGTAAATGTTTATAATGTGTTAACATAACTAATTATTTAATTCGTTATGTTAACACATTATAAACATGATGTATATCAACGCATTCTCACCCCAAGGCGTCACCTTTGACCATGCTTAAATATTTGACGTTTTAGGCACCCTTTAGCGTCACTTACAAGACGCGATCCTACGGCGTCATCTAACTGACGCTAAAGGAAAGCGTCAGTTAGAGGACGCGGTTAGGTTTAGGTATGGGGTGGGGGTAGGGTACACGCGATCCTAGGGCGTCATCTTACTGACGCTAAAGGGCGCCTAAAGCGTCAGATATTGAAGCATGTCCAAATGCTTCCCAAG